AAAGTGGGTATCTAAAGCCGGTTTGCGCGCATGCATGCGTAAATACTAAATACGTGAAATCGCAAACTTTGGATGGCTATAACTTCCAAAATAATGATTTGCGAGAATTTTGGAATTAGACTTTTGTATTCAGTGTCGTGAAACACACATTTTGGAAAAAAAAAAATCGAAAAATTCGCGTGGGAACCAAACTGCATTTATGCCAAAAAAAAAATGTTTTTATTGGCTTATAATACTTTACAAAGCTTTCTACGACTATCCAGTTGGTGATATTGTTTTATTAATATTAAAGTATCGTCATTCAAACTACATAGTTTGTTGATTGAGTATTTTTAAAATCTTAAATGTATACTACTTTTTACGCAATTAAAAAAAAAGATTACGTGTCTACTGTATTCCTCCTGCCACATAATAAGCCCAACATAGTGCTGGTAGCAATTGCGCATTCTTATCCATTTACTTAATTGCACCAATAATAAAATATATACATATACGAACCAAAGCAGTGGCTACTATACCAACATAGGAATAATAATACCTACTATACATATTTTCATATATTTTAATATAATTAAATAAAGACATAGCCATTTATGTTATACACTTAATACCTGCCAGAGTTCGAGATTCGTCCGATTTGTTTTCATTTTTAAGACTGCAGAATTTTTTTATCCMAAACGTTTTACAAACCAAATATTCATCCTATGAAAATCAATGAATTATAATATATTTGCCTGATATTTTGATTTAAAACTTCACCAAATTGACGGGTACATTGTTTTACTATTTATAATGTAGAGTAAAAATAATTATTCCCACAAAGTGTATGCGCATCGCAATTATTGTAAATCTATATGATAACTATACGTTATACTGTGAATACTCGTTGTATAGAAATTATATTTCCCCACCTCCTGTCGAAAATAAAAATAAAATTAGTGTCAATACACATTACGATAGTGTATATACCTACCTCTATGACTATAACTATAATATGTATTTAGCTTATTGRAAAAKAATGATGTGCCAAATTTTCTATTRTAAAATAAATGGTTTAATATACTGACCAAAAACATACTTCATATATGAATAATTAATGTTAAAATATAATGCGATTAGGATTTATTATATATTATAATGTTTGTATAACCATACTAAAAAACTGAAAATAAGATAAAAAATAAAAATATGCAGGTAATAAAAAATGTTTGTTACCTCATAAAAATACAGTATACACATTTTTAGAAAACTGTGCACCACCACACTTACAAAATTTTCAATTTTCCTTTTATACCTGAATTCCAGTATCTATAGTACTACTATGTTGAATATCTATGTGTACGAACTGTGTCACTAAAAGAGATAAAAAAGTATTTTTGTTAAATCGTATACCTATACCATATGTCTCAAAAGACAGGGTACACTTTATCACTCATTACCCTTTAACTATCTTTCAATTCTATTTAAGGGACATTGAACTAGAATAATCAATCATAAATTTCTATGATTTAAAATTTCTTTAACTGATGTATTTTGCGCACGTTCAACAAAAGTTCATTTTTATTTAAATGGCAGTCCCTATTTCAAATATAAATTTCAAATTGATTGATTTTTTCAAGACATTTTGATTCATCAACTTTTATTGCAAACTCAAAATTGGTTAAATTAGAGCTATACGTATAATTTAAAAATCTTATTAAATTTGAATATTTATTCATTTTTTTTTTTTTTAATTGTCCATATTATATCCTTCTAAATACCTTGATGTAATCAAAATTATTATTTACTAAATTATTTACCGAAAGATTTTCGAACAATTGATTGAATAGTTTGTTTGTAATTTTTGTCAATAAAAATCAAAAGTATTGCAAAAAAAAAAAACTAAGAAATTTAGAATTTTGTCTGAGAATACTTGTTTAAATTATGTTAGGTATTTCATAATGTGTAACAATAAAATGGAATAATAATTTATAAATAGTAAACAATACGAGCAATAAAAAAATAATTAAATCTAATAAAAATTTTAAATTATACCTATAACTCTAAATTAGCCAATTTTGAGTTTAAAACTAAAATTGATTCATCAAAACGTCTTGGAAAAATCGATCAATCTGAAAATAATATTTAAAACAGAGGTTGCCATTTAAAAAAAATGAATTTTGTTTAGCATACGCAAAACACATGAGTTAAAAAAATTATAAGTCATAGAAATTTATGATCGATTAGTCTACCTAGTTTAATGTTCTGCTAAAAAAATTGAAAAATATTTACTGGGTATTGAATGATAAAGTGTGCTCTGTTTTTCTGAACACAAAATACGATTATATTATATTATGCGCAGCGCACTGCGCTTTCCACAGTCCATTTCACCACTCACAAAATAACTATAATTAGAAACTCCCACCAGGTATTRAAGATAAATGAAATGAAGAATTTGCTAGTTACAAAAAATCTCAGATACTTTTAAATTTTAAATGGTTTCTCTATCTTGGAAAATTTTTTGTAATAAAAGTTCATAATATCGTTATATCATATATAGGAACAAACCGTTTTCGAGAGTCAATGATACGTATTATTGAATTGTATTTTCCATGAAATCGGGTCCAAACTAAACAAAGATAGGGATTTTTCCATCAAAAAATTACAACATTTCTAAACAAATTTTTGAAAGAATAMTTGATTTAAATAAACAAATAACGACAAACGAAGCTTATTTTAAATGTATAGTCTAATAATGTTTAAGTCCCTTCAAAGTTCTCGTACTACGACCACCCGAAAGTTTCTCAATTAAAAATAATATAATACGAATACCTATAACTAATAATATTATAACTAAATATTAATAAGCTGGTCAAATATATCAGTTTTAATTTTAAAAATAAAAAAATGTGGATTATGTTAAAAATATTTGATTCTTAAATAGTATATAACCTGAGTATTTTCTCCATTTCTTTTTTACCGTTGATAATATACAAACTATAAAATCGTTCTGTGAGAATTATATTGTCAAATCACTTTTGGTAATTTTTACATTTTACATAAAAATTGTAGGAAACTTTTTTCTGTGTTTACCATTAAAATTACCATCAATATAAAGTTATTATATTGCATTGTGATAATGGTGTTAAAACTATAATAATAACAAAAATTAAAGATTTATATTGTCTCATAAATGTTTGGCATTTTTTTTATGTGATACCATTCTCGCAACAACAGTCTCATCAATCACTGCTTTTTTATCAATAATTCAGTGTAGGTATACTGAAAGTGCATCACAGTAGTCAGTGTTTCAAAATAACATCTTAATTATATTATATTTTAACTAAAATTAATTTTACTTTAAATATAATTTTAACTCTTCCGATGAGGTTATAATAATAATAATAATAATTATTATTATTATTATTATTATTGTAAAGAAATAATCATTGAATCTATTGTCATTTTCTAAACAGCTGATCGCCGAAGTAAAAAGTTCAGAAAGTCCAAGATGATTCTGGGTTTCTTCTATGGATTTTTTCTGAGCCTAAGTAAATACGTAAAGCCAACTTTTTATTCACCCAATAAACATGTCCTATCATTTTTTTCAGTTCTCTACCATTTCGTCATTGTCGATTTAGAATTTACTGATCAAACCACTCACCTAATGGGCATCGTTATCAGTCTATTTTTGAGCATCGGCCACGCCATTTCACAACAAGTAAATCGATACACGTCAAATCTAGATAATTGTTTGTAATCGACCGTTTACGGACAACGCGTCGACATTTAAAATTTAATAGATTGATATATTTTATAATACCTGAACTCTCGATAAAAAACGATATAATAACGTGTACTCAGTACTTTGGCAATATAATTTTTCAATGGAYAAAATTTAATAATTGACATTTTTATGCATTGTATTTTATGTTTTTAATCGTTTTAGAGATTTAATAGTATTCAGTTGCACTACATATTGCATTAACAAAAAAAAAAACAAAACAAAATGTTTTAATACTTTATAGTATTTTRGTGATATTTTATGTTTTCATATGAGTATAAAATTAACAAACTATTTAATTGCAAATTTAGAACCAAAATATAAATGTTAATATAAAATATTGAACTAAATAATATTGAATTACGTATTATGTAACTAATTAAACCTCAAAAATAAATGGAGGAATATGTAAAAAGAGTATATCCCATAAAATGGTAATGGACTAGGTACTCCTCTCGTTTAAATTTCAAATTCTTATAAATATTAACCTGTAAATGATACCGAATATTAAATGCAGTGAGCACTTAATAAAAAAGAAGTAAAAGTTTGGTAGTAAAAATGTTATACCAACATATTATGAAAAATTCCTTTTTTGAAACTCACTAAATCTACTTAAAAATGAATAGCTATCTCGTGTAGAAAAATTCACTTTAGGTATATGAAATGCAAATATAATTTTTAGATCCAGAAATTATTAAGTTACGAATAAATCGTCTGAACCTAGCTTTCAGTGGGTCAGTGGTATAGTATGAGTATGTATCTACGTGACTAARTATACTAAAAATCTTATTGTATTCAGATTTAGTCAGGTACGCGTAACCACCATAATAGTATAATTTTATGATTTTCACRTGTTTTGACGACGCATATTACAGTAGATATAAAATATATAGGTTTAATGGATTATTAGCTTTTTAAAGTGGTTTACGGMAACACTCATGATCGGAGCACGATTTTAAATAAAACAGTATATTATTTTAAATCTGTGAAATTTCCATTTATTGTACAAGAAAATTATGGCTTTGGGTAAATCGGACCAAAAGAATATAGAGAATATTTTAGTCTTGTAACAATCCATACAGGCACTAACAAAATGTCTGTCTTTACACAAGTGTGTGTGTAAGACATACCTACAATCTACATAGTAAAATATTATATTTAGAATATTAAATTGTACTGATCAATAGATTGTACATTTACTTAATAATGTGACACGTGTCGTATATGTAAATAATCCAAAATGAATTTTCCCTTTCAAGTGGGTTCAGATATTCAAAAAATATACGCTTTATCAAATCAAAATAAAAATATTATTGAGGTAGGTATACAATTTTATTTTTCTATGCAAACGTATTGACGTTTTGTCGTGAATTTCAATAATCAAAGTAGGTATAGGTATTCAATAACGTTCAAATAATACGAGTTGTGAGAAGACGGTCCACTTGTAACAAAAACCAAATAAATAAAATCGTATCAAAAAAACGTACCTTAAACTCTTGTGGAATATCAACCATCATACCCATCAATAATTATTATTAATATTTAATGCGCAATATAATGGCAAATATTGTCAAAGAACTTCAAATTCAGAGTTATTATATTATGTTTTCATCAAAACGCGTGAACTTTTTTTTTCCAACCCTCGGCATGAACATTTATTTTTATTTGAAATAGTTTAATTCTGTTTCACGTTTCACACAAACCGTTGTTTGAAAAAAAAAATGAAATGAATAAAAATGTAAAATACTACAAATGACAATATCAATCTGATATATAGGATGCAATGTTCATTTACAATCCACGATAAAATTTTATTTTAATAATTGTATTTACTGTATGAATATACTTGCCCACATTGTAATTATGCAAACTAATTGATTATTTATTTGTTCCGAAATACCTATTACCGAAAAATCCTATGAACTAACTAACAACTCACTTAATTTTTAAGGGATGATGGAGAGATTAATAATTTTTATGTTCACAATTATTACTTACAAATCATATAACACATTTGAGCACGGTCAAAAGTTGAAAATAACAAATTACCAGTTTCGATTAAGTTAGCCACGATATTATATTTATGAATAAGTGAAAACGACTGGACTTATATTATATTACAAGGTTTATGCGTGAAATTACTTATAATTCAATTATTAACAGTTTTTAAGATTTGAATTAAAAATGTTGAATTTGAGTATATTATCGATTACTTGTGGGCTATGTAGCAAAAGCGATGTTTTTCCTACTTTTCAAGAGTAAAAGTAATATTTTTGCCTATTTAGTTGCTTTTTCTAATTCTATTTAWCTACTATATTATATTGTTTATTTATACAACGTATTAATAATGTGAAAAAAATAAAATAATTTTTAAAAATAAATAAATATTGCATTCATGTTAAAATATATGGTTGTATGTAATTTTGACGCGTACGTTATATATTTAAAATAATTATGTTCTATCAAGTTTGTTGGTGTGTAAGACAGTCTTACTAAGACTTAAATATTTTAATCGATAAACCAAAGCGTTTGGCAGCTTCAACGCTTCTTTAAGTTGCATATGACGAAAATTTAATGAGTTACATGCCCTTATATTTACACGAGTTTACATTAAGTTTATTTACAATAGAGATAGTACGGTTCTATTTTCCTTAATACAATATAAATAAATAATATTGTTCAGTATATGCCATACTACTATTAAATAGGTTTTAAAATAATAATCAATAATATWTTTTTTTTTGGTTCAAAATATCTGTATGTAAATAAAATAATTACTAATGCGTTTTTACTTACTTAAGTAATAGACAATTAAACTTTTTCATAGAATTAATCCATTTGTTAGTTGTTATTTATGAATAAATAGGAATKAAATTCAAAATGTTTGTTTCTAATAATATATGTGTAATAGTAATGAATAATAACTTTAAACAAAATAAGTTCAATATATTCTATAATTGATTTCAAACTCCATACTCACAATTGTTATAAATTACATTAATTATATCGCGAATTACAGTAAAGTATTTAAATTTATTCAACTAAAAATTTCAATTCTAAGAATTTATACGTACTAGCCGAACACTAGCAAACTGATACATGTCTGAATATTTTTAACATCAATTTATTTTTCCACGATTAAGTAAATATTCATTTCACAGCTTTCGCATTAATTACATTTCAGTGTTCAAATAAGCAAACATTGCGAAAATAAGCTGCTGTTTACCACCATTAAATATCTATAAATAATAATTT